ATCAATGTTTCATATCATTCTTCATCGTTCTTGCATACTTTGCATGATTAGGATAGGTTTGCATACATTTTGCATTTCTGAGTTGTTTTCAGGTGATTTGGAGCTGTTGGCGATCAAATTGGAAGAAACGAGCCGGAGTCAGCAGACCACCACTCGACCACAAGGTCGAGTGCCTTCTACAGCACTTACTCGACCATGTGGTCGAGTGAAAGCAGCCACCATCCTCTTTGCTCACTCGACCAATGCACTCGATCACACCACTCGACCCCGTGGTCGAGTGGCACCTACCACCATCCGCCTCATTCACTCGACCACACCACTCAACCAAGTGGTCGAGTGACAGCAACCATCATCTTCCTAAAGCAGTCGACCACATCACTCTGCCATTCACTCGATCACGTCTTCAGAGTCTTCTCAAATCCGCACTGAACCAGACAAGCTGAGCATAAGGAAGAGAAGAGGAGAAGAAGAAGTGTTTGGAAGCAGTTTGGAGTTTCACTCGACCACAAAGGCCCAGCTTCGGCCCATTACCATTCTATGGGCCGATTGAGTGGATTACCGATCCATCTTCTGTCATTTTACTCTGTTATGTATAAATAAGTCTTCGAGGGTTTGTCCCGAGACATCGACATTTTTATCTACGCTTTTTCTAGGTTTTACATTAGACTCGTTTTCGTAGCTGCACTGTTCTTCCTGCAACTTTGTATTTTGATTTCAAGTATTTCTATTTCAGTTTTCGTTTCATCCTTTATCATTTTCTGCTATCATGTTTTCATTCAACTCATTGTTGTCATCGTTGATTATGTCTGAGTAGTGACATAGAATTCTTAAGGATGGGATAGAATGATTGTGGAATCCGTAGTCTTTTAGATGGTTAAGCTTTAGAATTTATTGAATCCCTTCTGGACTAGTTGTGTTTACTGCTTGTTTCTTTCTTATCAACTGGAACTCGATCCAAAGCATTCCCGCACCCAGAAGGTGTTCGATGGAATGCTTGATCCACTAGTTCCAAAGATATGCGTCTCTATCCCAAGGGATTGGCCGTTTGGAGCGTTTATTGACTGTAATAGGTTGAATCGTATTGCCTGCATAGTTAGATTCCGTTAATGGGAATTAGTCTGGGCTAGCTTTGCTTGAGGATTTGTTGCACGGGAGTGAATAAATCTGTTGTTGAACCTATTGTCTAGGGATTGCTTGATTGCGCTTTGTTAACCATCTGAATAGGCTAAGGAGACCACTCCATTCGATTACCTCATCCTTAGGAATTTCTCGTCTATTTGATTTCTCTGTTTTCGTTGCTATTGATTAATCGTTGTCATTGCCTGTTTTTGCATTTCTCACCTGTTATCATCATTTCACTCGACCACATCCAGTGTTTGGCAACAGACTGTGTGGTAGAGTGCTTTTGTTGCAGTTTCTGCATGTTACTCGACCAGTCACTCGATCACATCATGCTCGTGGCATCAGCCAGTTGTGGTCGAGTGATTTCTGTAATTCTGCAATTTTTCTGTTTTCTGCATGATCACTTAGGATTGTTAGAAACACCAAAACCTGCAATTGCTTGGCTTGACTTAGTGACTTCTGATCACATCTCATCTGTTTGCATCACACCCATTTGGATTGACACCTAAAATACTACAACGACACGATAGTGTTTTAGGATTAATTGATCGTAAAAACCTATTATCATTGCATCCCTCTTTTTTTTTTTTTTAGTATGACTTATCACCTTCGGAACGCCATAACTTTTAAACCGTGAGGCCAAACTCGACATGTGATACCTTTTCGGAAAGCCCAAAGATAGCCCTTCGAGAGGGGCAATGGGCAATGGGTCTTCGTGCCATTTTTTTTTTTCGACACCAAATTTTGACGTTTAGGGGCTTTTCCGGGTCATTTTGTCATCCATACCATATTTCGGGACCGAAATCGATTTTTCAGACATTGTTTGCGCATATTTTCCATGTCTTGAAGCTTCTTAGGACTACCTGGTGAGGCCCACGTAGCAGGTGGGACCCAGGGCGAATGATTCTTAGAGTCCGCAAAAAGGATAAATGCGATTACATTGCATATACTAACGGATGCGATCATACCAGCACTAATGCACCGGATCCCATCAGAACTCCGCAGTAAAGCGTGCTTGGGCGAGAGTAGTACTAGGATGGGTGACCTCCCGGGAAGTCCTCGTGTTGCATCCCTCTTTTTTTTTTTTTGCGTATGACTTATCACCTTCGGAAAGCCCAAAGATAGCCCTTCGAGATGGGCAATGCGTCTTTGGGGGCATTGTTTTTTTTTTCGACACCAAATTTTGACGTTTTGGGGCTTTTCCGGGCCATTTTGTCATCCATACCATATTTCGGGACCGAAATCGATTTTTCAGACATTGTTTGCGCATATTTTCCATGTCTTGAATCTCCTTAGGACTAGCTGGTGAGGCCCACGTAGCAGGTGGGACCCACGGCGAATGATTCTTAGAGTCCGCAAAAAGGATAAATGCGATTGCATTGCATATACTAACGGATGCGACCATACCAGCACTAATGCACCGGATTCCATCAGAATTCCGCAGTCAAGCGTGCTTGGGCAAGAGTAGTACTAGGATGGGTGACCTCCCGGGAAGTCCTCGTGTTGCATCCCTCTTTTTTTTTCTTTTTTTTCGGTATGACTTATCACCTTCGGAACGCCATAACTTTTAAACCATGAGGTGAAACTTGACATGTGATACCTTTTTGGAAAGCCCAAAGATAGCCCTTCGAGAGGGGCAATGGGCAATGGGTCTTCGTGCCATTGTTTTTTTTTTCGACACCAAATTTTGACGTTTAGGGGCTTTTCCGGGCTATTTTGTCATCCATACCATATTTCGGGACCGAAATCGATTTTTAAGACATTGTTTGTGCATATTTTCCATATCTTGAAGCTCCTTAGGACTAGCTGGTGAGGCCCACGTAGCAGGTGGGACCCACGGCGAATGATTCTTAGAGTCCGCAAAAAGGATAATTGCGATTGCATTGCATATACTAACGGATGCGATCATACCAGCACTAATGCACCGGATCCCATCAGAATTCCGCAGTCAAGCGTGCTTGGGCGAGAGTAGTACTAGGATGGCTGACCTCCCAGGAAGTCCTCGTGTTGCATCCCTCTTTTTTTTTCTTTTTTTTGGGTATGACTTATCACCTTCGGAACGCCATAACTTTTAAACCGTGCGGCCAAACTCGACATGTGATACCTTTTCGGAAAGCCCAAAGATAACCCTTCGAGAGGGGCAATGGGCAATGGGTCTTTGTGCCATTGTTTTTTTTTTTCGACACCAAATTTTAACGTTTAGGGGCTTTTCCGGGCCATTTTGTCATCCATACCATATTTCGGGACCGAAATCGATTTTTAGGACATTGTTTGCGCATATTTTCCATGTCTTGAAGCTCCTTAGGACTAGCTGGTGAGGCCCACGTAGCTGGTGGGACCCACGGTGAATGATTCTTAGAGTCCGCAAAAAGGATAAATGCGATTGCATTGCATATACTAACGGATGCGATCATACCAGCACTAATGCACCGGATCCCATCAGAACTCCGCAGTGAAGCGTGCTTGGGCGAGAGTAGTACTAGGATTGGTGACCTCCCGGGAAGTTCTCGTGTTGCATCCCTTTTTTTTTTTTTTTTTTTGCGTATGACTTATCACCTTCGGAACGCCATAACTTTTAAACCGTGAGGCCAAACTCGACATGTGATACCTTTTCGGAAAGCCCAAAGATAGCCCTTCGAGAGGGGCAATGGGCAATGGATTTAATGATAATCTTTTGATTAAATCTTTTAATATTTATATATTCAAACTAAAATAATTGACTAAAGATAGAATTTTTTTTTTTAACAAAAAAAGCCTTATTTAAGGAAATAAAAAGATTTGAATATGATCTCGACTTAGAGAATATTCAGCATTAAATATATTTAAAAATTTTGTATTTATTATGAAAATCTTGGAAATTTCTTATACATTTGTAGAAAATAAATGGAAAATAGATTATGTAGCATTTATTTTTTAAAATTTTAATAAATACTAAAAATAACAAACGAAAATATAGTTACCAAACTCGGATTAGTTAGCAATTTAGTTTTTAAATTTTAGATGTACACCACAAAATTTGTAAAATTTTTATTAAAAAAATTTTAATAGCACGAATTTATATCTAAATCTAAACAAATTATAAATACCAATAATATTTTCAAAAGATTTTATGGAAACTGAATAATAGAAAATATTTGATGCGTGATTAAGGTAAATAAAAACGATCTATTTTTAATTTTTTGATTAGAAAATACTTTTATCATACGTGAATAACAACATTTTATTTGTAAATTTTATTTATAAATTTTATTTATAAATTTTTTTTTTTTTTTGACGTCTAGATTTATTACTTATTGCAAATTATGAGAACTGTTACATAGACGATTCTACAACGGACAATTCCTTCCGACCCTTATTAGATCCACGACAGACGACACTTCCTTCTCCATGCTCTTGACGGACACCTTCAAAGATCCACGACCTGACGACACTTCTCTCTCTGCGTAGAATCCTGGCGAACGGCTATAATTGTACTTCGCTGAAGATCTCCTGCACACTTGCCTCTTTTAATCTGCAAATTTATTAATAAATCGCAATATCTGGGACTCGAACCTCAGACCTCTTGGTGTAGAAGCATTAATTAACCCTTGGTCAACCAATGGGCCTAGGGGGCTTTCACATTTATAAATTTTATTTATAATAATTATAAAATCTAAACAAAATCTCTTTAATATCTTTAAATCCGTTTGACCCTTTAATATATATTAAGACATGGAATTAAAATAATTATGATTAGAGATCTCTAATGATATATATTGTAATTTCTTACAAAATCAACGTTACGACTTATAGGATGTATTTCCCTATGATACCCTAAATAATAATAGAAAAACTCATGTCGAATTTCATTACCGTTTTTCTTCAAATTGGATAAGTTTGATTTAACCGGTTTGAAGGAAACGTGCCACGTGGTTTTGATGAAATTTTCTCCGACGGTGTAAATAGATTTGTTGGGTTATAACATTACGTGTCGAATTTTAATTGGATGACTTGCGTGGCCGTATTATTAGTCACATCGCCGCAGCTCATAACAATCGACGAGCGCCTAATCGTCTACATCGCCGTCGCTTGTTACCGTCCGGTGCTCGCTTCACAATCTCAGTTTTTCTTTGCCGGTATGAAGATGAGAATCACGCAGATCTTGTTATGTCTGGTAATAGTTGCATTGTCCTCAAGCTCCCATGTCTGGTCGGATCAGATCTTCCCAGCTCATCTAGGTCTATATCATTTCCTCTCTTCTCCTAATTTTCCGATCAATTTCGAGTTTTGCCTCTTCAGTTTTGGTATTTGATTCAATGTTTTATGTATAGTTGGAACATTCAGCAGAAACAATCGTGAACCAAAGTACAAGATTGAGTTTCTCCCTGAAGATTCACCTTTTCACCCGGTAATAACACAACTTTAAGATAGATTTCAAAAGCTTAATTTTTGCACTCAGTGAATATAAATAGTTGAGATTCTCTGTGATTTTGGTGTTTTGATCTCTAATATTGTTATAACAAGGTGAGAATATGGTTATGCAGGATAAGTGTGGGGGTTTTAATCAGACTTAAGATAGATTTGAAGCTTACTTTTTTCTCTTTGACCTTAGTAAGTATGAGTAGAGATAGTTGTAACATGGAGATTGTCATTAACAGGGTTAGAATCTGGAATCTATGGTTATAGTGGATAAGCGTTAGCGTTTTGAATCGCAATTTAGATTGATTTGAAGCTTATTTTTGCCCCTTTGACCTGAGTTACAATGACTAGTGATAGTTGTAACTTAGAGATCCTCCATGGTTTTTGGTGATTCGTTTCTCTAATGTTGTTGTTCATAGGGTGGTAGTCTGGAATCTGTGGTTATAATGGATAAGCGTTGGCGCTTTTAATCAGAATTAGTATTGAAGCTTATTTTGGCACTTTGATCTTAAGTTACAATGAGTAGAGATAGTTGCAACATAGAGATCCTCTGTGGTTGGTGTTTCGTTTCTCTAGTATTATTGTTTATACGGTGAGAAGCTGGAATCTATGGTTATGGTGGATAATTGTTGGCGTTTTAATCAAAAGTTAGATTGATTTGAAGCTTATTTTGGCACTTTGACCTGAGTTACAATGAGTAGAGATAGTTGTAACATAGAGATCCTCTGAAATTTTGGCATTTTGATTTGCTAATATTGTCGTTTATAGGGTGATAATCTGGAATCTATGGTTATGTTGGATAAGCATGGGAATCGATTTTTATGTTACTTACCGAAAGAGGAAAAAGCAACGAGTGGATGGACTTCTAGTCAGCAAAATATTAGTACTGTGATGATGGAAACACAGAAACAGGTGAAGCTAAAGACTCCTGATGAATTGCTTCAACCACTTAGTGAAAAATGTCTTCTTAGGGTAAGCTTTTTAAAACGGTTTCTTTTGACCCTATTAACAAATTCTTGAAACTAATTCTTCCCTGGATTTGAGCAGCAAGAAGGTTGGTGGTCTTATGAGTTTTGTCATCAGAAGTTTGTACGGCAGCTACACGTTGAGGATGAAAACAAGGTTTGCTTTTTCTGATTCTCTTTCCTTGTCTTTTATCCGACATTGAATCACTATCTAATGCTATGGCTCGTGTATCCTGCCACTACAGATTGTACAAGAGTTTTTCTTAGGTACGTTTGACCCAGAGGCAACTGCGGCGTTTAATCAAACTGTATCTGATATTTCGACTGATGCTTCTCAGAGGTATAAGCTGAGGTTTTACAGAACCTTTGTAGCAGCAGAAAGATATATCTCAGCTAATCTGTTATGGTGGTGTGGTTGCAGGTATCACTCTCATGTATACACCAATGGGACCACCTGTGATCTTACAGGATCACCTCGAGAAGTCGAGGTATGCAATCTAGTTTTTTGCATTGCATTTGGGCTCATTGAATTACGATTCATTATCCTTGAAATTGCTCTATGCAGGTGAGATTTGTATGTGCAGAAACCAGGGCAATGATCACTTCGATCACTGAGCTATCCACTTGCAAGTACGCACTGACTGTTCAGTGCCCAACCTTGTGCAAGCATCCGTAAGCAAAAATCTCATTTACTTGAAAGCCAAATTTCAAAGTGAATTTACTCCTGCTCCATAAAAAGACCATGTTGTAATAGAGACACTAGTGTAAACTATATGTTTCATCTTGCATGCTAATTACCGATGACAAGAAAAAAAGCTTGAAAAGATATCCCAATATGGGGACATACCATTAGTTGAAACACGAGTCACCGCTTTATATGTAAGCTTATGATCCCTTAGTTTGTTAACCTTGTTGTTCTTGGGGAAATTGTAGGCTGTTCCAGCTAGAGAAACCAGTGTCACACACGATCCACTGCAATGCGATCCCAGTGGAACAAGACGCAACAAGAAACAATGAAGAACAAATAGTAGGCGAATCACCTAAGATGATAGCTGATTCTTGAAAACCGCCTAAGTGAATCACAAGAGTTAGAGTTAAACAGTGACTGTATATATAAATACTAGCATCTCCATTTTCGGTGTTGCCTGCTGTAGTGATCATGGTTTCAATTGGGATTGCTTGCCGGTAGGATGATGATACTCTCTCTGTAATCTTCTGCATACTTAAAGCAGCATTTCAATAGAAGACACTGATAAAATATTTGTGAAGCAAAGATTACAAGCTTCATCAACATATTTCTGTTTCACTAGTGAATTCGCGCTAAGTGTAGGCTGATTTTGTGTGCGTGTTTCTTCTGTTTCGGTAAAAAGAGGTTATATTTGTAATAAAAGAATATGTTTTTTTTTTTTTTTACTAATCAAAGATGTTTACAAATTGATCTTTAAAGTAAATTTGACAAACTAAAAACCGAAGGGCTTTCAACCAGATGAGAAGAGAAGAGATAGGAGAGAACCAGAACCAGTAACTCACTAGAAGTATTTATTGGATCTCGACGTTGTCTTGTCTGTAGACTCGACCACCATTTCATCTCGACTCCATGATAAGGTGCATGATTGGGTATCCATTTAAATATAAGGAAAATGATTCCATCTCATTCAAGGTAACTTTCTTTCATTTATCTATTTCATCGTCTACTCTTTTTTTCCCACCGGGACAATGTGATTTAATTCTGAGCAAAAACTAATGATTTTTTTATTTGTTGACTTGAGAAATTTTTCACTTTTTACATCAATATCGTTTTACCGAGTCAAAAGTTTTTATTGAGTCCAAACTAGTAGGGCATAAAGACATTATCATATGAGGATTACTAACCATTTGAGAATTGTTTTCTTAGTACAACTTGCAGACTTGCAAAGAACAGACGATACCTAGATTTATGTTGGATCGAACGTCAACTCTATCTTATGTGGACATCTAACATGACTTTATTTTTCTCATTGAAAGTGTTAGATTAGGGAAATGGATCATACCTTTAGGACTTCTTATTCACTTTACCACTCTCTGTTGATCCTGAATAACCACTTATTTTTAGTGATAGACACCTTAAAACCATTCTCTTCTTTCGAACTATATGCACTCGCTTTTCATTATCATATATATGTGCATCTGTGTGGAAAAACTTCAAAGAGTAAAGAATGACATAATTTATCGACAACAGAAGACGAAGATCTCAAAAAAACTTGGCAGGTACAGAGAATTGATTTCATAACCTATTTGTCCTATGAGATTCGCCTAAAAGGGTACTATTTTCGTGCTTATGTACCGTTTCTCCTTTAAAAATACGTGAGAAACGAAAGGAAAGGAAACAGTTACAGAATAAGAAGGGCTTATAGCAAAGGAAAATCCTAAGGAGAACCGAGGTTTGGTTTATAGAAGAGTTGGAGCCGCTCACAATAGATCCCCGCCGAAAAATTCTAAGTTTGGGCGAATAAAAAAGAGATAAAGGTCAATAAAAAAGTAGTTATACGAAGAACTAGTTGGAAGCTTTGGACATCAAATATCTATTCTCGATTTTGGATAATATCTTACATCCCCTGAATCATTTGGTAACCTGAAACACTTTTAAATTCCACCTTTAACACCAAAAACTTGTTCTATAGTCGTTTAACTACCATGAATTACATCTTTCGATGAGAAAACTCACGCAAAAACTTAATGAACGTAGAGAGTTGACTGGTGTGAATTCAGAGGGTTTGTAGGTTTGGAATCGATGGGCAAGAGTTGGGAAAGTTGTAGGACTATAGTGAGAATATTCTAATGCAAATTATCTATAATGTAGTCTGCAGATTATAGTCCAAGGCACGGTCCCGATGATAAGAGAGTTTCCTTGATTTTCAAACTTCGTTTCCATGACTTTAATTTCTTGTGTGCTAGAGGACAATATAAGTCTAAGTATAGGGGAGTTGATAACCTCGTATTTTCGCCCAATTTAACTATAATTTCTAATGGTTTTACCAAATGTTGGGCTGATTTTAAGGTTATTTGGATGATTTCCAATCTTTAAGTGCAAAAAAGGTTTTACAAGTTATATGGCAAAATGGACCAAAAGACGAGCATACTACGTTTTCAAGACAATTTCGACGAATCGAAAGTTTCACATTCGCTGAGTATCTTCCCATGCACCAAATTGAGAGATTTTTGAGTCGTTGGAAAGCTAGAAGAGTCATCTTTCACCTGCAAGTGGAATCGGACTTAACCATCAAGGTGATTGGAAGTTATGCTCGATATTCCTATGCATGTCCTTTATTGGCTAGAAGAAGTATGGCCGGTCTAAAGCCCTTCACCGCACATGTCACAGCTCGCTTCCCCGGGATATACACACTCCAGGGACCGGTCAAAACTCATGTAACCGGTCTAGATGGTATGCGTCCTGGACCTTACCAAAACGCCGAGCTTTGGAGTAAATAATCCTAAACCGACTTCTTTGCACCACAAGACCTATAAAGAATTGTTTCAACCTAGGTTTTGTGTGTACCTTTGAAGAGAATAGAGAGCCGACAAGCATCCACAACCAAATAATTCCTCTCGTTCTTTATCTCCTTTTAAGGTCACCAAAACACTTTGTCTTTTGTTTGTTTGCTTTGTTTCTTAAGGGGAAGAAGCTTTTACCTCTTTGTACTCGATATTGACAAGTAATCTCTGAACCATTTCTGTTCCTATTTCGATTTATGCATATAAAATTCTTAAACCTTGCTTTAATGATTCCTTTAAGCATGATTGAGTAGTTTAGTTGTTGGGTTTAATGGTTTATTCAAAGGGAAGCTCATGATCGATTAGTTTGAGTGGCGAAATCTAGAGTTGGTTTGGTTGCACTGGTTTTTCGTATATACTTAATATTTATGTATGTGGTGGAAATCATGAATTAAAGCAAATAAAACAAAGGAAAAAAAATCAATAAGGAAAGTGTTGGGCAGTAAGGCAATTCTCAGGGAATTCAATGATCGTTTCATGGGACTCGCAAACCATGGGGACTATTTGCTCGATCTTAGATGTAGACGAGGTTGATCTCATAATAAGCACATACCCCTTAGTTATGGTATTCTTGTTAACTGATCAAAACTTGTTATTCACGCTTGTTTGATTTCGTCGTTGCCTGCGAACTGTTGAGTAACAGAGTAGTTTAAACTTTAGAAGTTTGATTCTGCGATAGTAGTCTTTAATTCATTCATGTTTTGAGTAGAAGAACTTAAAAATAAACATTCATATATCATAGATTTCCTTGAATGAAACGAACGTTGAATACCCTGCGAATTCCTTAATGTCCAACTTTCCTTATTGATTTATTCCTTAGTTCGATTTGCTTTAATTTACGTTATTGCTTACTTAGTTTCATCGTGAAATAACCCAAAACCCCTTTTATATTATCTTGCTAGTCTTATTCTCTTATGACGGATATGTAGCATAACGTCATCTCTCTATGAGATTCGATCCTTCAGTACTACACACGATTAGCTGTGCAATTGCAGCTTTACGTTGTGTCGAATTGAGGTAAAAGATTGACACTCATCGGTTGGGTTTTAAGGGTTATTCAAAGGGGACTTCATGATTGATTATTTGAAGTGGCGTTTTAAGGGTTGTTTCGTTTACATTGTTCTTCATCTATACTTGATCTTAATACATGTGGTTAACGTCATGAATTTAATTTGGTGTTGATCTCAGGGAAACAAACACATTAAACGTGTAGATCTATTTGCTTAAACCTAGACTTAGAAAAACTTGATCTCATAACAAGCACATACCCCTTAGTTATGGTGTTCCTGTGAAGTTATTCAAACTTGCTTATAATATATGTCTAGATGCGACGTTCCTGCTATTGTTGAGTAGATGAGTATAAAGGCCTGAGATAGTTTATTTTGCGTACTATAGGTATTTTCTTCATTCGTATTTCAAATTTCATAACTTAGAATTAAACGATCTCATATCTTAGAGTTCCTTGAATGAAACGATTATTGAATACCATGTGAAATCTTCGAAGGTCCAATGTTTGATTTATTGATTTCTTCCCGCGTTTTACTTGCTCTATTTACTTGCTATTTCGCCTATGAAAAAACCTCAAAACCAACTTATTTGAGGTAAAACCTTGACACACATCATTTACAACAAAAACAAGCGATCTAAACCGCTGAAAAATCCAATGACCCAAACCGCAAACAAATCAGGTGACAAAAGAAACAAAATATGATGATCCAAATAGCGACTACAAAGTTTTTTTTTGTAATAAAGGATAGTCCAAACTTTGAGTTGTCGTGTTATATATTTCACTTTAGGAGAAAATTTTTTTGATATAAGAAATATTGTTATTTAATACTATTTCATTAGGTAACAACTAGAACTATATGCGGGACAAAACAATTATTAAGTAATTTTAGTGTACTTTTTATTTAAAAATACCTATTGTACTTTTCGGTAAAATTATTATCTGGTATCTAAAATTTGTTTGTGATATATATTTTTCTAATTTTACTTAAATATTTGATTTATTCATATAGGAATTAGGATTTGATATGCGGAACAATCATTTTGTGTATTTTGAACCAACCATTTGCCGATCATATACATTTTTGTGGGAAGTAGTTTCAAAGTGCCTTTAGAAGAGATAAGTTTTAACGAACTGTTTCCATTTATGGCAATATGATTTTTGTATCTATAAGGAAAAAATTTATATCTATTGTATTTTATTGAGTAATCTTACCTAATTAAACTGTTTCTTATTTGTTGCTAAGATATTTCAGGTAAAGACGAACCAATCCACGAATGGCCGCAGACATATAAAAATAAATGATTACATATTCTTTAGATGAACCTATATAGTTTTGATCTTTTTTTCTCCTTTTATTTGATCAAACTTATAAAATATTTTTTTTTTCAAAAATTTTATTTCCAAATTAGGTGAAGTTCGTATTCATTTTTTAATTAATTGAGTGAATACGAGTATGTTATGTGCCTTATAAATTAATTGAATAAAATACGTATAAGTAACACCAGTGGCAAAATCTGTAAATATTCTAGTAAGGCTTGGGCGTTTAATTAAATGGGCTAAAGAGCTCTGTGAGGGCGACTCGTCATCATGGCTGATATGTCTATAATTTGCATGATTTAAGCATTCATTCTTCATCACTTTGTCATTGTTTCAATCACATTTCATCTCATTAGTAGTCGTTTTAGTGTGTTTTGCATACTTAGGACGTTTTTGCATTA